GAAATGTTATTGCCACACCATGAAACCTGTTATAATAATTTATTAGTAAAACAAAATTTCGTTTTTTTTTTTTTTTTGCTAAGTTAACGACTTAGCATTTAAAATTTATTTACCCCTAAATACAATATAAAAATTCTCTATACATATACATATCGTAATATTCTTATACTATATATATATATTCCCTATATCAATATTCCAAAATATGTTTTCCTCTATATTTTATTCTCAGAATATGTTCTTTGTACATATATGTTCGGTACAGATTATTTGTGATCCTTTTTTATGACTTAATTCGGTAATAAAGTTTATATTTTTGGTACGTAGTACGAATACCTAATTTTAAAGGTATTTTATGATTTACCAGGAAGGTTAATTCGAACTATTTCAAAATTATATTAAATTATATATATATTTTTTTATTATAATTAAAATTTTACAATTTTTCAATCAAAATTTATTTAAAAAAAAAAAAAAAAAAAACCAATCATACAAATGATTCGGAAATGTTAGTAAATATTTATTTTGTCAAATAACCGAATGTAGTACTTACTGTATTTTAAAAATATCGACAACCACCTTAGAAGTTATTCCAAAAATAAGAATTTTTGGCTCGGATTAAGTTCCGAATATTAATAATAATTTTATCTAATCTATTTCTTTATTGGTGGAATTATTGCATATTATAATATAAACAAAATTTAAATTTATAAATTTTGTGAAAATTATAATCGATAATGTTTCTTTTTTTTTTTTTAATAAAAATAAAAAAAAAAAAATCAGATTTACATACATTACCGGTATTAATTCATGTTGTCTCTTATTAATATTGATTTTAAACATTAATGATTAATATTTAATTCTTATTAATTCATGTTTTTAAACGTTAATTTATGTTATTTTATATGATTAGCGGAAAAAAAAGTATACTTAAATAAACCATAGACGTTTATTTTTATCATTTCATGGGTGTGAAAAACCTTTACATTAATAAAATAATTTATAATAAAAATCTATCATCAATGAAATGGGATATGACCATTAAAGAATTGATTTGATTGATTGATTGAAGGTACCAGGTGATCTCGTGACGTTCAAAGACCACGACGATTATTTCGTGAAACTTTTCGTATTATCTCGATTTTTTATTATGCTCGAAAAAATGTAGCCCGTACCTATGTTAATTAATTTAAATTTAGTAAAAACTCAAAATTTATTTCCGGGGTAGTTTCCGCCCTTTCTACGTACTGCAAAGGCTTCATATAACAACCGATACATAACATATTCTTTTTTGGTCATATATGTATTTCCTTGTACGTACATATGTTTGTTGATCATTATTTTTACCGTTATAATTAAAAAAAAAAGTTGTAACAGGTAACACACTAGTGAATAAGAACAATATCAAAAAACTTGATATATTCTTTGAGTGGAAAATTTTAATCGTACAAAGGTACTTAGATACAACCATATTTAATCAAAAGTTTTTTTTTTACGTATAAAAAAGAAGTTTATATTAAAGAAACTTTTTGTGAAACTCCGATATAAATGCAAGATTTAAACACCTAAAGTTTGGAAAAAAAAAAAAAAAAAGACTAAAAAAGTTAGATTAAACTTTTTTATTTACCTTCACATCAATTTCAAAATGGTAATATGAATATATAAATCCAAGTTTTTGGTTCATTTATTAATTTCTTGACCTATGTAACATGCGCGCATTGACGTAATATGTAGGTAAAAAAAAAAAAAAAAGTACTGTATTCTCGGAATGTACTTTCATCGGATAATCTAAAGTTTATCAAATTAAGGATAACAAAATGATCTATAGTACTTTTATGTATTTGGTTAGAGATTTATAACGCCACTATTATTACAATGTAAAGTATTAATATACCGTAAAAAAATTCGCAATTTATTTAATGATTAATTAACAGTATGTATTCAGTATGTATTCAGTCGCTATCATCCGATCATAATAAATGCCATTTATGGAGGATAGGAGGAATAACTAATATCTTTCAAGTTAAGAGTGCAAAAAATTAGGGGTTACATTTTGGTTTTTCAATATGAGTCCTTTGAGTTCCACGTTTGGTTCAAAATGAATTATAAAAACGTAAATTTTGACGCCACTTTGATATCAATGTGTTTACTATTAATAGATCACAACCCTCACTCTAACATTGGCTTGATAATAATTTATCGTCGTTAATTTTTTTTTACCAAAAATGTCTATTAAGATGGTTCAGTATTATTTATTATCTTATACTTTGATGAATCAACAAGGGTTTTAATTATTATTAGTTAGTTTATGTATATTCGATGCTTTCTAATTTATATACATATTTTTTATTCGTCAAGTAAAATTACACTAATTTTGAACACTAATAATTTTACACTAATAATTACATTAGGAATTACACTACGTAGAAATTATATTTCGTACGAATTACACTAAGAATTATACTAAGAAAGTATTCGTCGTGCTTGTTCGACATATGCGCGTTTTTCACCCAAGAATATATTTCAATTAATATTTATAATATTATATAATCAACAAAACCATAACAACTAATTTCTTATGTTTTATCTTTTTATTAGGTGTTAAATCGTTTGTTATCCATTTTCGTACTTTAAAGCATGGAATTGCTAAAAAGAGATAAACCAATATAATAAGTATAATTTTTAACATCACATTATAAACCGAAAATGTCCTAGTTTCAAATAATTAAGATAACCAATTTCTGTATAGTACGTACTAAGGTTTAGTGTTGCTCAATAAATCAAAATAAGACGTGGAGAAGCGATTTTAGTAATATTTGTTAACGATGGTTTGTGTTTATCATCCTTAATGTTACGGTTTTTTTTTTTTTAAGGTGCTTCATTCACACGCTAATCTAACGTGTATGAAACCTTATTAATTCTCTAACTTTCCAATTACGTAATTATTCAACTAACAAATTGAGTTTCGCAATTGTTAATTCAAAATTTGGTTAGTATTAACATTAAATTATCATTGATAATTTACGTATTAACGAATTTCTAACCATTGATGATAAACTTTTACAAAAAAATTAGGCATGAAAACGAAAAATTATATGGTTTAGTATTATGCATTGTTAAAATTAATTACATAAATTAATAATAAAAAAAAAGTTAATCATCTTTATTCTATATATCAAAAAGACCTATCTTATTCGATATTATTTTTAATTCATAATATTACCATACATATTTAACCTACCTTTTTAATCCTCTAGAAAACATTAAATGACACTTTTGTTATCCTTTAAACGATAATTTTTCTTGAATTTACTCGGATGAATTTTTTTTTTTTTTAAAAAAAAAAAAAAATCACAAACACCATTAAAAAGGTTGATCGAATTCGACCTTACCTATGTATGCTATTTCGGATTTAGAATAATGCACAAACTATAACAGCATTGATTCTAAAAAAAAAAAATCCAAAATAAGTTTACGAATCGAAGGATCAAAATTACTGAAGCATCAAATAATAGAAACAAACACAAACTACTACAACAAAATTTTTCTAAGCCACAATTGGGATGAATACTTCATCCTTAAGCAATCTCGTTAATATTTTTAGAAATTCAATTTAAAAATGTTTTTTCAAAAAAAAAATAAAAAAAAAATAAAAAAGTCCTAACGAAAATATATATCACATGATTTTTAATATTTATTTTATTTTATTCTTCGTTATGTTTATATACATCTTTTTAATAAATCTTTATTTTTTTTTTTTCTTTCTTTGCAAGTAATTTAACAACCCTTTTTGTTTTTTTTTATGTATAAATTTTGTATCCAACTTTTTTTTTATATTATATTAAATTCTTGTATTAAATTTTATATCAAATTTTGTATCTTTTTAAGATTTTTTTTTTTTTCTTTTTTTGTAAAAAAGAAAGTTAATACATAAAATATAAAAAAAAAATTATTTATTTTTTTCGAAAAAAAATAAAATAAAATAAAATTTTACAAGTGATTTTTATCGGAAATCAAGTGAATTATTATTATTATCGATAGATTGATGATGATGATGATTATTATTATTATTATGATGATTATGATGAGAATCTACAATTGGAGAAGAAGGTGGTGAAGAATGTGGGGAAGAAGGTGGTGAAGGAATTCCACTTGTAGCTTGATGTTGAAGATTATTTATAAATTGTTGATAAGAAATCATTGTAGCGTTAAAATAAAGAGTTAAAGCTGCAGCATCAGCAGCAGAACAAAATTTGTCACTACAAGTTACAGGTAATGATGATTGATAATCTAATAAATATTGTTCTTGCCATTCAAAATTTTCAGAGGTTTGAAATCCACCATTATTAATTATCCAATTATTTCTAACTGTACAATATAAACCGTCTAAATTTATATCTGGAAAATTATTATTTTTGCAAAATTGATTAAAATAACTGCAAAAAAAATCAACTTCTTGGGGTTTAATAATCTTTAGAGAATAATCGGCGGATTGTGTATTTCCCCAATGAGCAGGACCAATTTCGTCAAGATTATTCAAGAAATAACCTACTGGAATTGGTCTATTTGAACAAGGATCGTTATAGATAGGTGGAGTATGATCTGTTAGTTTATAGGCTGGTAATACAACGCGTTTTCTTCTTGCTGGTAAACCCATTCTTTTTTGTTGTATATATTATTAAAGTTGAGTAAAGTTTGTACAAATTTTTTTTTTTTTTTTTTTTAAAAAAAATAATATAGATATATATATATGATGGAAATTTATATAAGACTCTCTGAATCTTTTTTTTTTTTAAATCTATATGTAAATTGCGTTATTTGACAGTGATTATAAATGAAAAAGTGGTGTATAATATATTTATAACAGTTGAATGATAAATATATACTATATATAAATCAAATCAAAGCTTTTTTTTTTTTTTTTTTTTTTATCGTTAGTTTATTATCATGTACGTTAAGATTAATCAAATTTATGTTTTTCATAGATTAGAAATCTTAACGACGAATAGATTATGGCACAATGTATCTAGAAACTAGATACACTTTTTTTTTTTTTTTTTTTTTTTTTGAAATATAAAGAACTTGAAAATTACGTTAAAAGTTTTGAGATCAAAATCGAAATTTTTTTTTGAAATTGTCAAGCATATTATATACTTTTTTTCATGCTAGTTAGTTAGTTTAAAAATTTATTTTATTTATATATTTTTTAATATATATTTATATTTATATGTAACTCAACTTCGATGAAGTTACAAGCCTTTTTTTGAAATACTAAAAAGGAAACTCATTGTTGCCTAAATTTGGTAATATACTAATTTTTTTCAAGTAGGTTCGGCATTACTATTATTTACCGAGCGTTGTAATACTATGTATACATAAACAATTTATTAGTTAACAACAAAAAATGTTATTAACTAATTCGAAATATTAAAAGAAGTTATTAATTAACAAAAGGAGAACAAAAGATATCTGATTAACGCCTAATAAACTTTTTATGACCTTTTATTTTGTCTCATGCTTTTTTGTTATTAATAATAACAAGGGTTCATTATTATTATCAATCATATATATTTGTTATATATTTGTTATATGTTATTATGGTTATGATAATTACGTTAATAAAATTTATGAACGGAGAATTTAAAGCATGTGAGTAAATATTACGCATTTAATTTATTGTAACATTGGAAAAATATTTTTTTTTTTTTTTTTTTGTTATCCATGAAAGTTCAAGATTAAAAGATCATTAATCAGCATACTAAAATTTTATAAATCATTATTATTAAAGATATTATTCGTTTAGGTCTACGCATTTTAAACATATGTACATATCACATCAAAACCTATTATATGATCGATGATCCGCTGCTTAATACAATAATAAGCGATAATTTCCGATATTTCCGGCATACCATACAAAAAATTTAATCAATCAAATTATTAAATATTAATAACCCTCACATATATGTAATACATTTAGCATATAATGATCAAAATATTAAATATTAACTCGTTTAGTTGGAGTTAGCAAATCAATGCAGGCAAAAAAAAATGATCAAGCCTCATCTTTTAACAAATCTTTGATTAACCTTTAAAATAACCAAATTTGGAGTTAAAAAAACAAAATGATTTTCATATGGTATCTAATCTCCTTAAAGGTTTACAGAACTAGACCAATTCCTGCAAAGATGCAATGATGCTTTTTGAAGTGTACCAACGAAATATGTAATCATATAAAATGAATAGTAAGTTAGTCGATATTTTTGCTTTTTGATGGATTGCCTAAAACCGGAAAGTAATATAAGGTATATTCGACTCGTGACATGTAAATCATAAAGTTTCTCAACTTTAATTATTTAATATATCTATATTTGCATGTACGAAGGTTTTTAATTTTTTTGTGTAATAAAAAATATAATTATTAAGTTATTTAGGAATCTTTATCTTTATATTTTTTACTTTTAAATACTAAATACAGTATGTGGCATTATATATAACAGATTGAAAATTTTAATTCTGATTTACCATTTTGGATTTAATTACGCGTTCAATTATTGTGAATAAAAGTATCACCAAGTGTTAGATCATAAAATTCTTTTTAAATATAAAATTCTTTTCAAATACAAAATGTTTAAAAAATATTTAACACTTTACATATATAGAGTATGATTTTTTAAAGTTCCCATATTGTATAGCACATGATTATTTCAAATACGATCTTCAGATTATTTATTTTATACAAGTTTATTCGGAGTGTGAATTTCAGAGGGAGTACTAGATACTAAAAAACCTTTTTCCTTAAAAATGGTAATGAACACGCCTTATAATCTTTTAATCTACACGCGTATATATATTTTTTTTCAATATTCAAATTACTCTTAAAATTCATAATTTAAAAATCGGAGAATAATTAGGATTAATTTTAATTTACAGTAGGTTAGACTTAAAAAAAAGTATTAGTAATCGATTGATTATCAAATTATCGTTATCTATTATATAAAAATTCGGAGAATTTACATAATTTATTGTAACGAGTAATTTATCAATTAATTGTTGTTTTTATCTAACAATAATCCGGTGATCATTTTATATAAGATCTTATTATTCGTGTTTTTTTTTATTTTTTTTTTTATTTTCACTAAATATCTATTTATTTATCCCATTCTAAGAGTTCTGATATCCTTGTACACCATTATAAGGAAATAAAAATTTACACACGATATTAATAATAATAAAAATCAAATTTATAAAATCATATGATTAAAACGTATTATTTTTAAGTAATTTACAATTTACAAATTTACTAGGGGAAAGTATATACATGTCAAGCGATCATCTTTGTGTTCACGAATTTTCTGATGACCTTCCAAACTCTCCTTTCTCGATCAACGTGAGGATCAAATAACTATTAATACAGTTATATTACACTTATATTACGCATAATATAACAAGTTATACAGTAACAAGTACTCCTTTTTATTAGTATACTTATACAATAATATTTTTTGATTCGTACATTACTACAAAATGTGCATATATGTTAAGAATGGACACATATGTCAAAGTTTAAACTCCGTCTCCAAATGCAATAATCTACATCAAAAAAGAATTTTACACTTTCCAAATTTGTAGATGTAAAGATTTCTTTTATAGGTATCTATAAAGGCTCCTAAATTTTTTTTGAAATGTTATTGCCACACCATGAAACCTGTTATAATAATTTATTAGTAAAACAAAATTTCGTTTTTTTTTTTTTTTT